AATTGAAGTGTGTGGTAAGTGTAAAATATACTCTGAATTTCAAAGACTTTAAATGAAAAAAGAATGTAAAAATGTCTCATTAATAATTGTTTATATTCAGTATATGTTGGTAATATTTTGGATATATTGGGTAAAAAATGTGTTAAAGCTAATTTTATCTGTTTCTTTTTATTCTAATGTGGCTATAGAAAATTTTAAAGTACACATGTGGTTCACATTTTGGCTTGCATTATATTTCATTTGAACAGTGCTGCTCTATTATCTTCTAAAATATGTCATCTTTTCAATGTTTCATTGAAAATATTACTCTAAATTAGAACACAAGTGATTGAGAAGTGTGGTTTGAAGTCACTTCTTTTTAGCCAGGTTAAGGAAGACCAGGGAACTGCTGCCGCTCATTCTCATTGTGTTAAATGGAAAACTGTGAATTAACCAGATCCCTTTTTGTGTTGACCAAGTGTGCTTCAACTAAGAAATGAACACCTCTAAGGTTGAGGGAGTGGGGTGTTGGCAACTGGAACATGTATATAAGACAACATTGGGAGAATGATAGAAGCTGCCTTGGGACAGCTGGATGATTAAGTTTAATTACTTTCCAAGTTTTCTTACAACTTCCTGACTGACATAAATTATCACCTGCTCTTTTGATTTGCCCTTTTGACAGCTCAGAAGAACAAAGTACCTCTTGGTAAGAAATCTCTGCAGGCAGTATTTGTTGGTGTTTTCTAATGGGAGAAGAACATATGTTAAGGCTTTACATTGTGGCAAAGCATTTTTCTTGAATTTTTCAAATTGCTAAGGAAAAGACTCAGTAAGTGTGCCAGAAAAATTTTTAAATAGACCAGTGAAAGTGTTCTTTAAAGTCATTCTTTAAAAAGAAGCCAAGAATGTAGAAGCTATTTTGCTATTTGGAGAGAGAATGGTTGGCCGGATAATCTAAAGTCTTTGCCCTGTTCTTGTATGATTCACTTGCTAGCACCTCAAATCTAAACAATTATTCCATAAGGCTAACAAATGAAGAAAATGTGGTAGAGAGTACTCTCACTGTAGTCATAAGATGAATTTCTGGGACCTGAACTGTTCTGAGGCAGCCGTGGATGAATTTGCAATGGTTAGCAGACTCTTTGGGGCTCTGCACAGAAACGGATGATCCTGGGGAATTGAGCTTGGCATCACCTCTTTGGCTTGGTATGTCATGCTTGGTTGAGGTTTTTGGAATCATATCTACTTCTTTGTGCTGTAAGAATAAAATTTTAAAATGTTTGCCATCTTTTCATGTAGAAATTATGTCTTCTAGAACTATTAATTTATTACTTGTTTGCAATTTTTACTAGTTGTTTATGGAGTAATTCACAAACAGCATTTAAGTGGTAATGTTCTTCTTTTTTTNTTTTTTTCATTTCAGAAAATTCCTTGACATACTCCAAGAATAAGGTAGGATCATATTTAGGTGATAACTCTAGAAAACTTAACTTGGATGTACTTTTTTTATTAAAAGAATATGCTTCAATTTTGGAATTATTTATAGTGTCTTCCTAGAAGAGTCTGCTAGAAAGCACATTGAGCAAAATTTTCCCTCTTTAGAAGCAATATTGTGTTTTCAAAATATTTTCTCAATGTGTGTGTTTTTCATGCACAAAGAAGATATTTTAGTAATTTATCCTTTCTAAGATTTTACTTGTTTATTTTGCCTTAAGAGTTGATAACTTTTGGGGTAAGCAGGTCTTAGGGGAAAACCTTAGACTGTGTCCTTAGGATAGATTATGTGAGAGAAAAACAAGCAACTGTGCATAGTTAGAGAAAACTCTGGGTCATGTACCTTTTGATCCAAAATAGGTCATAACACATGCAATATTAGCTTTTGCTATGTAACAAACTTATAAAATGTTAAGGACATAAAACAGTATGTTATTTTTTGCTGTGTGTCTGTGGGAGAAGCTGCTCTTCAAGCTGGTGCCAAGTTCAGGTCTATTCCATTTGTCTCATTCTGGGGCCCAAGTTGAGGGGGTTGTGGGTATCTGCATAATGTTTTCATAGTGGGTCACTGAGAGCCCAACCATACAAACATATTTTAAGTCTTCTTGTGTCATATCCGTTAGCATCCCAGTGGTTAAAATAAATTAAGTGGCCAAGCCCATGCCAAGGGTTGGGGAAATACAATATGCACACCTGAAGGCCATGGTAGGCAGATGTGTATATAATTCAGTTACAAGGCAGTGAAAAATTGGGACCAGTAATTCAGTCTACCATTGTTGTTACTTCCCTATAGTATTTCATGATTTTTTCTATATATAATGTGGTATGGCAAAGATAGGTTGTAGGTCATCTAGACCATTGTTTGAAATCCCATAATAGATCACAACCAAGATTAAACAACATCAAAAGTAATAGAATGGAGAATATTTAGAGATCATTGGTCATAAGGTTCAATATTGTTTTATGAATTTTTTATTTTAGTTATCTATGTGTATGTGCATCTACATTTTAGATTCTATATGCATATTTGTCCTTGGTCATGATGTAAAATGTGGAACAGGGTAAAAAAAAAAAGTTAACTTGCCACTGTCTAGTGATATTGATATGAGTTACTGATTCATGCCAGAAACAAAATGGACATTGTTGAGTGTCGCAAGTATCTGTTATGTCCTTGAGAATAACCTATTTTAAAATAGGTGTTTTATTGACTTACAGTCTTTATTTATGGTTTATATAAGAATAACTCATATTACTCATATACATGAATGATTATTGGGGGGAGGAGTTCAGAGTCCTACTCTTGTTCAAAATCTTACAGAGTGATTAAAATTCTTTTTTTTTTTTTTTTTAAAGTGAGAATGTAGGGGTCTGGAAAGCTAATAAGTTGCTTGTTCTAAAAGTTTATGGGTACTGTATCCACCCATATAGTTCCTTTCATTGAAACTTGTGATGCAGTTTGCCAAAGTAACAATG